ATTTCTAGGATATTGATTGGTTGGTACATTACCAACCAATTAATATCCTAGAAATACATTATTTCTAGGATACTAATTGGTTGGTAATGTATGTCTAGGATATTGATTGGTTGGTAATGTATTTCTAGGATATTGATTGGTTGGTAATGTATTTCTAGGATATTGATTGGTTGGTAATGTATTTCTAGGATATTTCACTTTGTTACTGTGAATACTAGTTTAGAAAGTGAATGTTGAAATTTGAACATTTGAAATCTAACGTGTTAGAAAAAAGAAAATATTTTATGAGTTGTTACATAGAAGCAGATAACAGAAGTTTAAGATTAAAACAGTTCAAAGACACAATAAATGTTAGAAGTCCAGAGCAAAGTGCAAGTCTCGTAATGATATTTACATTATAAATTAAGATAATGTTTACTTACCATTATAATGAAAGTGTTACTTACCATAATCAGGAAGCTTTCTGAATTCTTATTATTGTTTTATTGGTAAATGTTTGACAATAATAGTGTTCTCTTACTTTCTAGTAACTTCATGAAGTGCATTGAAGTGGAAACACAAGATACAATTTTTATGTAAATATATATTAGATAAGTTTCTATCTAAACTTTTTATAGAAGTTGATTTAGTCACATTTAATTAATTTCTTGTTGAAATGTTAGATGAGCCCCATTTTCCACGTGATCAGCTTCAGTACCTACAGGAAGTTGGTTTTGGATGGTTCGGCCAGGTTGTTGAAGGAGAAGCTCAAAACATCAACCCTTCTGAAAGAAGAAGTAAAGTGGTTGTAAAGATTTTACGGGAAGATGCTTCTCCATCTCAACTTGCTTCCTTCTTGGACGAAGTTCAACCATACAGGTAGAAGTCGTACCATTAACGAGAAGACATTAAATGTTTTGTTTATTAATTAAACTGTGATGTGTGCGAGAGTATTCAACTTACTTAATTTGGTAAAATGATGTAATATTAACATCAATGGGTTTTACTTATATTTGTTAAGTCAGATTTGATCATATTTTCAGTTTGTTGTTCCAGGGGCCACAGTTATGCAGGTTGATAAGTAGAGATGTACACAGTTGCAGAAGATATGTGTGTTTAGCATAAACAAAATTTTTATTCTGCTATTGTACTTATTTGGGTATGTATGTTAAACAGTCACTAACCCTAATGAAAATTGTCTTTTCATACAGCCTTTTTGTAGTTTTTAAAATCATCCAGGAATTAAAAGAACGTGTAAAATATGTCACATTCCTTAGAACTAAGATGCAAAGAACACCAAGGTCAGATGCATATAGATAAATTCCAGATATCTGCCTTACCATATCACAAAATACTTTAGAATGAAATTCTTCTCCTACACCAATCTAAACCAGAGAAAAATAAATAAACTGTTTAGAAACTATAGAAACCATTAAAGTAAACAATCTCTCACTGAACCATGATAATGGCCCTATCAACATCAGCTGTATAAATCATTGTCTGCTTGCATATTAATAATGTGTAGAGAAACCATAAAATTGCTGTGGTATGTTCTAAAGTCTTTTAAACTTTCCATTAGGTTTCTTTGATCATTCCTGCAGGAGTTACTTTTCCATAAAACAATAAATTACCACTCAGACCACTTTAAATACACTGACAAAAATAGTTTATAATCTGCTTTATCCATTTGTATCTGTTTTGATTCAATAGTAATAGTTCACACTACAAGACTACAAAAAAAAAAAACCTATACTTAGGGATGGATATAAAAAAAATAATTAGTGCTGTTTACCCGCAAGGTTCCTCAGAGATGTACAAAATTAAAGTTGGAACATTTCTGTCATTTTCTTTATGTATTGCCCCCCAGTGGCATAGTGGTATGTCTGCAGACTTAAAACGCTAGAAACAAGGTTTCAATACCTGTGATGGGCAGAGCACAGACAGCCAACTGTGTAGTTTTGTGCTTAACTTTTGTGCTTAAATAAATATTAAAATATCATAGAATACTAATTCTAAAATATTCTTGAGTTAAGGATTGGTATATATAATTTTGTACAGTGTCATACACATTCTTAGAAAGTTAGTCATTTGCAATATTTAATTTTTAAAACATACATACATCTCCTATGAATAAAAAGATTGATATACTGAATGAAATCCAGTTTATTTTTTGCCAGAGATATTTAAATGCATATGTATTTATCATGTTTAATTTCCTTCCAGGGGTTTCCAGTGTACACCTTATATGTTTAGATGTATTTAACATAGATATTGATATTTGATTGTTTGATGATGTTTTCACTGTTTGCCCATCTCAGCCATGATAAATTTATTACAGTTTGAGATATAGTGTTGTTGTTAGGTGATTGCTCAGCTTTGGTTTTAAGTATAAATTAGGAGCACTTCCTTTGTCCTTAACATCCATTTATCTGTCACTGAGTCTATCATTTTAGTATGTTTGATGTTAGGCTTCTCACTACAGTCTTTGCTTATAAGTTCTAGAGTTGTTGGAAGAGCTGTTTTGCTCATGCTCCCTATGGTAGCTAGGCCTACAACATGGACACATGTATTGATACACCACCAGCGATATTTTTTAAAGGAGGTATTTTGTCTTTAAAACGGAAAACATTACATAATTGTTTGTTTGTTTTGAAGATTACAGTACATGATAGAAGGCATGGCTTTATTATAGCCATCTGTATAAAATAAATGTAAAATAAATGCAAATGTACCACAGGTGGCGCACAATATCATGAATGTGTGATTTTTGAACAATCAGGTATGAATGTGCTAAAATGACAGTACAGACCAGAGAATGTTGGTTTGTGGTGGTATCTAGTTTCAAACCTGTTGTTCAAATTGATGACTTCTAGATCTAAAAAAGGCAATTTAGATTATTTTTGTTCTTCAACTGTAAAGTTGATATTTCTGTGTTTAGAATTTAAATTTGATTTGAGTTTGTCACTTGAGTACTTTCACTGGGATACCTTTCCCAAGATTTGATTTGAGTTTGTCACTTGAGGACTTTCACTGGGATACCTTTCCCAAGATTTGATTTGGACTTGAGGACTTTCACTGGGATACCTTTCCCAAGATTTGATTTGGACTTGTCACTTGAGAACTTTTACTGGGATATCTTTCCCAAGATTTGATTTGAGTTTGTCACTTGAGGACTTTCACTGGATACCTTTCCCAAGATTTGATTTGAGTTTGTCACTTGAGGACTTTCACTGGGATACCTTTCCCAAGATTTGATTTAGGTTTGCCACTTGAGGACTTTCACTGGGATATCTTTCCCAAGATTTGATCTGAGTTTGTCACTTGAGGACTTTCACTGGGATACCTTTCCCAAGATTTGATTTGAGTTTGTCACTTGAGGACTTTCCCTGGGATATCTTTCCCAAGATTTGATTTGAGTTTGTCACTTTAGGACTTTCACTGGACACCTTTCTCACTGTCTGGGTTTTTTAAAGGAGATTTCTTTCATAATTTTTTGGTTACTGGTTATGCCGACTTTTTTGTTCACAATAACTGTAAGTCTTCGTGTACTGCTGCATACCTGTTACATAGTTACACAGATATGAGGTAAAGAATTCGTGGCTATCTTCTCTTTCATGTGAAAGTGTATCCTACATCTTTGTTGGGACTTTTACCTCTGTTTTGATTGTTCAACCTTCAGTTGAAGTGAATTTTGTATCAGAAGGATGGAGACTAATGAATTATAATTTACTTATCTTTTGAAATAAAAGGATTGGGAAATTCACTGGAACTGGAAAAAAAGTTTATATTAATATTAACAAGAATATTGTCATAATGTTCTAAAGATATAAGTAAACCACTTGTAACAGATCTTAAAAGTAATCTTCAAAGAACTCTAAAGATTTTGAAGAATCAATACTCTTGTGTATGATTTCATTTTATGGAAAACTCCTAAAAAAATGTGTATATAAAAATATTGAAATTTAAGAAATGTTCTTAATTTCTTTCTTCTTCATAAACTTGAGTTTTATTAACACTTAATGTTATGTCTCATGAGATAAGAATTCAGTATATATGTGCTGTTTCTGTGTTATAAGTTACCGTTAAAAGTCACTGTACTTCAAATAGTATACTGTCATTATGTAATGCAGTTTTTATCGTCTCTGTTTACTAATAAACTGATCTTTGCTTCTAGAGATCTTAAACATCCAAATATTTTACAACTCCTGAGTCGATGTCTAGAATCTAATCCTTTCCTTCTTATTATGGAACATTGCACCCAGGTCAGTATGATATTTTCATTGACCTTAAAAAGTTACGTTTCAATCTAGACACAACTTTTTTCCCATATCATAAAAATATTTGTCTCAGTAGTCACACATGTAATTGTCATATTACCATAATGATCCTATAATTTTTTTCTTTTGATATTTCAAATGTTTTCTTGTCAATCACATGTGAAAATTCACTTGAGCAGGATTTTTTTGTAAGTATGTTAGTATTACTTTATCAGGATATGAAACAGTTCTTGATTGAACATCGCCATGACTCGGAGCTGCTACTAAAAGGAGGGCAGATTCTAAGCATGATGTGTGATGTTGCCAATGCCCTACAGTACATGCATGAACATGGATTCATAAGCAGGTAAATTGGTTTACCTAAACCAGAAGTAAATATCAGCTTCGCTGACACTTGATTGATTAACAGTTAAAACTGTTTTCTATCACTTATAATTTACAAAGTTTCTTGTTACAGATGTGACATGAAAAACTTGATTGATTAACAGTTAAAACTGTTTTCTATCACTTATAATTTACAAAGTTTCTTGTTACAGATGTGACATGAAAAACGTGATTGATTAACAGTTAAAACTGTTTTCTATCATTCATAATTTACATAGTTTCTGGTTGTAGATGTGACATGAAAAACTTGATTGATTAACAGTAAAAACTGTTTTCTATCACTTATAATTTACGTAGTTTCTGGTTACAGATGTGAGGTGAAAAACTTTACTGATTAACAGTATAGTGATTAACAACTAAATAATAGCTTGATTAGAAATTTTCTACATTGTGGAATATATTTTTCTCTTCTTTAGGGATCTTGCTGCTCGAAACTGTTTTGTTACCTCTAGCATAACTGTAAAGTTGGGAGACTATGGGACATCCATTCAGAAGTACAAGGTAATTTAGGGTTAAATTATCTTAGAAAGTTTATCTACCCTTTCATTATAACCTTTTAGTTTTATTTCTCTTTTTCAGTCTTTATGTTGTAGAAGATTTAGAAATCTTCAGTGGAGCTAGGTACTTAATCTGTTTTGGGATTATCAATACTTTTGTTTTAGTAGCTTTAATTTAACAACATTCCGTCATATATATATAAAGTTTTCAAAGTCTGATCCTCATCAAATAGAGTCTAGATTCCTTCCTATTCTTACTACTGTTATTTTGTAACACCTTGAACTTGATACTAAGGTCATGTATTTCCTGTTTTATTGTAGTTGTTTCTAGAACAAATTTACTTGGAAGAAAAAGTTTTATTCTTTCATACTGCTATTTTATAACACTTTAGATACAAACTATATATTTCCTATCCCTTCTCCTGCTGCTGTTTTTCAATTACTACATTTAATACACGATGTGTATTTACGACCATTCATATTTCTGCTTATTACGGTATGAAATGTAATATTTTAAAGATGTGTATTTACTGAAATTCTTATTCTGGTACAATATTTTAACTCCTCTCACAAAAAGCTTTCTTGACTCGTTCTGCTCTCTATTGGTGCAAATTTTCACTCGCCAGTAGCCTTGTTACTCCTACATATTACTGCATGCTAACATAAAAATGATCATGCAGCAACCCTCCACCAATAGGAGTGTGACGCTACCCCTATCATAACTAGCACCCTCTCTGATCATGCACCTATCACACGTTTTTACTTTCGTGAATTTCTCCTCCAGTAAATTTATTTTATGTTTTTGTTCTGTTTCTAGAACAGTTACAAATTATTTTATTTTATCTTCTCTCCTCTTTCAATGCACTCAAACTTTTGGGTGATCACGACTACGACTGCTCTTACTGCAACAACGGAATTCCCAATCACGTCTAATGGGTTGACACCACAATTCTCAGCCCTTGAAGTGATGGTTCTGGTTGATCGGGAGTTGACCACTTTCATGCAACAATCAGAACACACTGATGATTGCCCTAACAAGGTTTACAGTGATCTTTTCGTTTTGAATTTGGACATCTTTTTACCACCTTCTGAATATGCCTCTTAGTCATGTGTAGTTTGGGGAACTTGCCAAGATCTTTTTCCCCTTTGGGAGATTTGTTATTCGGGTATGTTATGTTCTGTACTTCTCTCCCATTTCCATATTTGGATCCCACTCTGTGGCGAGAGTTGCCTGGCAAAGTATACTTAGTCTTAAATTTGCAGTGAATATGCTAAATCACTGTAACGTTGAGACTCTTCCTACTGCAGACTTCTGGTGTTTTATAAACTGTTACACTTCATACCAAGATATATATTTACTGTCCTTACTTCTGCTGTTTTATAAACTGTTACACTTCATACCAAAATGTATATTCAATGTCCTTACTTCTGCTATTGTATAACATGCTAAACTTCATACCAAAATATATATTTACTGTCCTTACTAGTATTGTTTAATGACCTTATTTCTGCTGTTTTATAAACTGGTACACTTCATACCAAGATTTTTACTTACTGTCCTTTACAAAGTTGTTGTTTTGATATCATGGTTTACAGGATGACTACTACTATCTTGGAGACATTGCCCTCCCAGTTCGCTGGTGTGCACCTGAAACTGTGTTTTGTACAGAAACAACCATAGAAACTAAACAACTTACAAGAGAAGCAAATGTGTGGTTAGTGTAGTAATTAAGATATTGTGTTTTTTTATCTAATTTGATTGCAGTTGGTGTCCTGACATCAATTAAACATATTTATCATGGCAAGATACTGAGTTGTATAAGTTTAAAATCCTAGTTCATCAGGTTCTGTTATCCTGTCATCAATTAAACATATTTATCATGGCAAGATACTGAGTTGTATAAGCTTAAAATCCTAGTTCATCAGGTTCTGTTATCCTGTCATCAATTAAACATATTTATCATGGCAAGATACTGAGTTG